CAAATATTTCTTTTACAATAATTTTAAGTCATTACAAAGTAACATTTTTGGAAAAAATTATATTTTTTACTATTTTTTTATCGTCATCGTTTTTAAGTCTTTAGTTTTTACTCTTTCGAATGACAACACGCGTTTTTTATTTCATATTTCAAAGCAGAATATTATTTTGAGTATTTCGATCTATACATATTTCGGACAAGTAGTTTCTTAGTGAAAAATATTTACTACGTTTGATGAGCGGAATAGTGGGCCCATATTTTACGATTTACCGCTGCCACTCCACTCATCAAAAATGTAAATGAGTACAACTCATAAACTACTCGTCCGAAATTATATATCTAAACACCAAAGTACGCAAAAAAATATTTTGCAGCTTGAACTAAGGAATTAAAAATGCATGTAATAACCAAAAATTTAAAACGAAAATGATAAAAAAAATATTTTAAATATATTATTTTAGAAAAATGTTATTTTTTAAGTAATTTTAACAACTTAAAATTACGTAAGGTCGTAAATATTTTTGAAAATATTAAACATTCTCATAATAATGAGTCTCTTACGCGTTATATCGATCACTCTGCGGTATGATATACGAAATACCACTGTATAATACAACAATCACGAAGTAGGTATTGATTTTCTTGAATATATAGGTACGCTGTTTAATAAATACGAATCGCTTGATTTCGATTTGATTTTTATCTAACATTAACGGTCATAGAACGGTTTTAGCTATTGTTAGCGTGAGTTACGACATATATTATAATATCCTATACAGAATATAATATAAAGCTTTGCAAACTTGTTGTTCGCTCGAGTTCCTTTTCCTCCGTTTCGTTTCTTCACGACTGCCCTTTTTGGCCTCACGTCCAATATAATAATACGTACCCGGGCATGTCAATAACATATACGCGTACCTACAATATTATGATGTGTACTAGCCACGTTGTGTTTTGAGCGTGATCTTTGGCCCCCCCCAGTCAACCGATAATTAAGATGCCATCGCAACGTTTGTTAACAGAATTCAGTCGCCGAATTCGCCGCCGTGCGATTATGTTTCTTATAATTATAATATTATTATTATTATTATTATTATTATTACTATTGAAATACAACCCTGCGGCGGCACAGCACGCGTGATTAATAGCCGAGAACGCACCTAATGTAAATATTGTCACAACAGGACATGCTACTGGTGCGTGTAACATAATATGCAATCGCCTCAACGATACCATCTGTATTATACGTACAGTCGTGTTGTTCATTCTGTGGATAAAAAAATTGTATTTGTCGCACTATATTTGATTCCTTATGAACAACATATTACCGTCGTTGAAACTGTAATATGTAAATTGATGTACATTACACTAAATCTTCGAGAGTATTGAATGGGTACCGAAAGATTTAAAATTATATTCACAAAATCATGTTTATTGCAAAACGAAGGAATATTTATTAGCTATTATATGCGTTCATCGATAAATTCAATTAAAAAATAGTACGACTGTAATTATTATTAATACGTGTACATCGTAATAAAAATAGATTTGGATGAATCTGTATAGGTATATTATTTGTCACGATAAAAACATATTTTTTAGGTTATAAAGTACTTAAAACGTGTTAATATTCAATTAGTTTGGTGTATAATTTTGAGCTATAATTTAGCATTACAAGTTTTTACACTAATATAAAATAATTAATGCTGAGCCATGATCTTTCCAGCCGAGTAAAATTATATACAATTATTTTAAATCACATATGCCTATATAAAAAACATCGAGGGTAGGTCGGTACCTACATAAAATGTATTTACAGCTATTATTTCAGATTTAAACGATTAATTAAATAAATTGTTGCCTTAATCACCGGAATGTTGTATTTAAGAATGTTTTAATGTTATGTAAGCTGTTTATATTTTTTACACTGGGAATTTAAAACACATTCAATTAAATTTTTTACATTTCTAACAAATATTTTTAGACAATTTTAATTAAATAATACATTAAAATAATTAAGATATCAATAATTATAAATTATACTGTTAAATTAAGTGTTCTAAAGCAGGTAATAAATGACTAATTACTATAATATATACATATTTTGATTATTAATTTCGGTCAATTTTAGTAGGTATAAGTACATTTCAAAAATGTTATTTGTCTTACACTGCCTATTTAGAATATAATCAAACGTACTTAAAAAAAAAAAGCATTTAAGTCGTTGTTAACTTAAACGTCATTATTATAATATACCTACTCAATCTTGATTGATGAGTGAATGTTAAAATGAAGCTACCTACTTTTAAATATATTACCTATAGTTAGTTCGATAAACAATTTTACATTGTCTATCATTAAAACGCATTGCAATTATTATTAACTGGTAAAAAATAATTTGAAATTTCTGTTGTAACAGAAAATTAATTAAGCTGTGTTTCAAGTCGCGTGGCTATTAGACGTTAAACATCGCGTGATCTGGCAAATTCTATGAGAACCTATAATTTTTCATATAAAGTGCACATCGAGTGCAAATTAATACGCTAATGTGCATTTGTCAATTTGTTTTAATAATTATTACTTCATTGGAAGAAATGCCTACGCGTTTGTCCGTCCTCGTGTTATTATAAATTATGTATAGGTATTATTACGTCTCGATTAAAATGTTTATATTAACTCGGCAATCTATATAAATTATTTATTTAAGCTGTTTTTGTATGAAAAAAAAACGTTTTGGTATTTAATCGGATAATTCAAACAATTTAAAATATAACTTGACCAACATCGATCTCCCTTAATGGCGGATATAATAATTACTCTCCACATGAAGAATTTTCGCTCGACTAAATGCATTTCATAATTTTCATAAATAATTTATTATAATCGTTAGATTTAACTTTTATTTACAAATTATTCAATATAAAAACTTGATTTTTAACGCGGTTTGCCAAACACTATTAATTATAAAAATTATTCTACACGTGTACTACATAATATCAGTTATTCCTGCAAATTTAGCATGTGGCGCATTGCCATACGCAACAATTAATTATCTAGTTTGTCTGATGACTTTTCGTTGAGATAGGTAGGTATATACGTATAATATTATTTTATTCTCAAAATACGAGGGGATTAAATTATACCTATATTCCTTAATATGTGGTCGATATAATAATAATAACTATTTATCATTTGAGTGTATAGAGTTCGATAGTTAGCTAATAAATTACCGACATTAATAACATATTTAATACGTCTGTATGCTTTTCCTGTATAAATAATAATAACAACAACACGTTATATAATGCTTCAATTGCAATAAGACCGCACGAAAAACAAATTAATAAAAGTTTTAAAAAAAATGGTTTTGCCTAAGCTGTCAGAAATATTATAGTATTGTAATACGTATTAATATAGAATAGGTATATATTATATGTCATGCAATGTGTAAAACCAAGTACACATTTTTTTCAGTTATTAATGTGTTACATTATTATGGTGTGGTCGAAAAAAATTATATATTATTATATTATTCTGGTGGACTCAGGTATTGGGAAAAATAGAAAAATGCCTGATGATCTGATCGACCCAATATCCACTGTATTATACAATATACAGTCATATATTGATATCACAAATCATATAAACTTGATAATATTAATTATTCACCAGGGTTTATTTTTTCCTTAAGAATTCTATAGATACACCTTCCCTTGCATCCTTTCCTCGATCTGCTACTTTGTTACTTAAAACGCTAGAAATCAATATCCCCACATAACTATTCAAAGAATTTACGTTGTGATCCAATTAATGTAGATAAGACAATCATTATTTTGGAGAAAACTAGTTTTTTTTTTAAATATCTTTTTTATTTACCTGGGTACCTAAAATCGGTCATTACAAAACAATATTTTTAACTGTTTTTTTAGTTGTTTAATAGACAACTTATATTTTTAATTCCATGCTTCTAAGCAGAATATTATTCTTATTATTTCTATCTATACAAATCAAATTTTGGACAATACTATAGTTTATCAATTTATTATAATAATATAAAATAATAATTAAAATAATATTTTGATGAACAGAAAGTTAGTTTGTGGGGTACCCTCAAAACTTTAAGTACTGATCAGTTATAACTCATAAATTACCCATTCAAAATTCAAAATTTATATTTTAAAGTAGGTACTAGGCAAAAAAATGTTTTGTTTTGAAATAAGGAATTAATATTTATATGTACATGCGCGATTATTAAAATAATAATTATTATTGTCGTATTGATGACTTTTGTTTAAAAATATAATATCTTAGAAAAATGTTATTTTTTAACGATTTAAAATTAAGTAAAAAAAATATTTTCAATAATGAGTGTCACACGTTAAATGGGTAACCCGATTCTTGGGACTCTCTTCTTCTATTTGTACCTTATTCAATTCTCATGTATTTTGCAAACCTTATTACCAGGTAACAGATTCTGTTACACCACTGTTTCTGTTACAATATTGGCACTTTATTTTACAATACAATACACGCCTAGTCCGCTAAGTCGTTACCCGGCGTAAATGACGAAAAATAAATAAATGTTATTAAAATCTCTGAGGACGGGAGATACGGGAATCGGACCCTCGAGAGACAGCTAGTGCACGCGCAACGACGACTCGCGCGTGACTGTTGCTCTACTCAAGTCCGTCGAAGGGTTAACCGCGGTGTGCGTGCGTATACGTACTGGTATATACCTATACATACATATATATATATATATATGATATTATATTTCTCTCTCCTCGTTCTTGTATGATATAGGTACGCTCATTCACTCAGTTCGGCCGCCGCCGCCCCCTCCGCGAGACGGCTCGCCAAATGGTAACGCAGCCGCCGCCGCCGCAGCCTCTGGTTTTATTTTTATTATTATTATTTTTATTATTATTTTTTATATTTTTTACTTTTCGTAGTCGGGCGGGAGCCGCGCGTAGTACGACGTGACTAGAAGCGCCGCAGTCCGCAAATGTGCGTGTGTCGCGCGCGCGTGTGCCCGTGTACAGCAGCTGCAGCGGCGGTGTGCGGTTGTCGTGCGCATTATATAGGTACTAGTACTTACTTCAATATTATTAAAAATTCGTATTGTTTTGATATTAATAATAATAATATTTTATAATATTGCGTGTGCGGTTTCGCGTGTCTGTGCGACGAGTGCTGTGCCGACGTCAGTGTGTGTGTGTGTATGAGTGTGTGCGCTCGCGAGTCGACTATCCTCGAAAAGTCTGTTGTATTTTTCCTACCATCATAACATTTCCAAGTGTTTTTGGGTGAGCGCGTATTTCGCTTTTTCTATCACCGGCGAGGTAGATTTTCCGGGTTCCAGTTTCCATATCCTCGTGGCCGTCTACATATATACATAACAAAGTATACGATCCACACGTCATTTGATCTACGTGGAATGAAATAATATAACTGGAAACACCACGCAGGTAATTATTATTAAATCGTTGACTTTTATATTGATTCCTTTTTATTTTTACGACTTCTTTTCATTTCGTCCCGTAAACACTCGTTAAATGGTTATGCAGAGAGTATTGGTACGTCTTGTACAAGACAATGAACGATTTTTTTTATTAAAATATGAATACTACCACTTACATTTTTTGAATTATTGCATTTTAGATGGATGTAAAAAAATCAAGATATTCTGAATCAACTAATCGTAATACTATTTTAGTTAGGTAATAAATTTCAATTTAATACCTTTTGGAGGTTATAAGGTCCACCTATATATATTATAAATTGTAAATAGGCAGGTATTAGTATTCGTGATGACTACTTTTAAATTATATGCGTTTAATTTGTTATTAATATGTCCATTTTGCATGAGTATAAACCTCAATTTTGTTTCTGTTTTTTTGTGCAGCAAACGTTAATTTATTAATGCGCGTAGCTATTGTATTTTTTTATCAAGATCAGTGTTATATAACATTAATATCGTATTTAAATAAAATGTTTTGGTTGGTTGATGGATACTAAAAAAATCAATTTTCGTAAAACGTGTTGGCGACAGTCGTATAGAACCTGTAATATATTTGTACTCCCATCGATTAAATTAGAGTATTATTTTATAATTTATACCGATAGTTAAACACTTAAACTGTAGAGATAAAAAAAACTTGAGGCGAGTTTACGAGCTCAGTAGTTTTTAATATAATAATAATAATGTATAATATATAATATTATTATAGTCTCGCGTCTCTGTTTGTATTCATATGCGATTCCTAATTGACCGTATAAAAACCATTTGCGCTCAGTCGAAGAAAGAAATTTTGTATTTCCTTTGTGCGCGATATTTGCATTTAAATTTAACGTACACGACAGAGTTGAATTGTGCGTGTTTGATGTCAAAAGAAAAAATTGTCTTAGAAATTACCATACTCTATTGCGTCGGCGCATTGTGCGTAGTCTTATTATTATTGTTATTATATTTATTATTATTATACACTTTGTGTGTTAAGTTCAAAAGTGGAAATGTTACTTTTTTCAAAATGAAACTGTATAGAGGTATTGTAATACTAATACCATATAGTTTCAGGTATAATAATATGTATAGACGTCACTCACACGTGCGGTTATTTCCGTTTGTCGACGACACTAAATAATATAAGTACGCTCTATTAACTTTTTTTTCAGTTTCATTGTCACCAGTCGCCACAAATATCATTTGTTACAACCATAATATTTTGTACGCTAAAATACTGTTTATTTAGTATTTTTGCGTATGCCTAATAAACCGAAACATTCGATTCTCCACATAAATAACAACCGTGTACACAAATACGACTAATTGACGATTTAAAAATAAAAAAAATTAGTACGATATTATCTCTCCTTAACAATTAACAATAATAGCTACTTTTATACTAACGTATATATGCCTAGTATTATCTACATGTAAAACGTCATGGATTAACATTTTTTTCTGTTCAAATTACTATTTCTAAAAAAAAAAATTAGGAAACATAATAATGTACAAATATAGGTAAACGCATACACTTATAAAAGTAATGACTAAGTAGGTAAGTAGTGCGTAATAAGTAATAACATACAGCTAGGTATAGGCGTCAATGCCTTAGTTGAATTTAACGTTATTTTATTTTTTTCAGTTTTCTTAATTGTAAATATCTTCAGATTTGCTGATGTGTGCTAATTTTCTAATTTAACATTTTTATTAGAGGAATTAATAGCGTTGACCATAGCTCGTTCGCTAATCCCGCTTTAGATCCAATATTCAAGTATATACTATATTGCTAATAAGTAATAATATGTATAATATTATCTTCTGATAGAATTTATAGAATCGGTCGATTCGGTATAATTCCAACGTAATTAGAAATTTCGGATAGCGCATTAATATAGTTCATACGGGACGCAATCAACGACGTTGTAAACAGATAAACATGATATTATAAAAAAAAATCGAAATTAACTTTACGACAGTGTACTTAACCTTTTTTTTGTTGAACTCTACAGCAGATCTTGTATACAATGAAATTGTACGTCACAGGCGGAACTGTCTGTACGATCGCATATAATATATTATATGAAAATTTTATTGTAGTGTATGTACTTACAGAAAACATTGTACAGTGCACAGAAACGGTTTTAAATACGATGAAAAATAAATACATTAATGTCATGAAATGTCGTCGATTGTGATCGTTGTGTGCAATATATTATATACTTTTATAATACATATATATATATATATATAGGTAATAATATAGTGTTAAGTACTACTACGATGTTAATGTCGAACGATTTATCGATTCCGGATAGAAATCTGTGTGTATTAACTATTAATTGCGATTTGTCTCTATTGTCAATTAAGTTGGTTTATATACGCTATATTTTATAGGTATATGTATTATCTATACTAATTATTCGAACACAACTATATAATATTGTATAAAACGGTGCAAAAACATTGATCGTTCCGATTCTGTTCAGCTCTTCGCGACCACTGCAATTATAACTGCAGTTATAGTGCGCTGCAGCAACTGCATTAAAACTGCATTCGAGCGGACAAAACTAGGTGATATATATATTATTGAGAATAATTATTGTTATCATGCACAGAATACCTAATGTCTATTTCTCATGTCTGGACAGGGGCGGGTGGCGAATGGAAAAAGGATAAAAGATTGCTGCAAACGCAGTATGTCGTACCTGCGGAGGAACGATAAAATCTGTTTAGCGACCAAGTTCTCACGATTTACCTTTATTGCGCAGGACAGGAGGTTTATGCGCGTGCAGATTGTAAGGAGAACGTATTTTTTTTTCTCCATTACCAGCTACTACGCCGTGCGTTGTGGGGCATGGCAGACGACGGCGACATGTCGGGCGAAAATATAAAAATTTAAGCACATTTTATTTTTAAACACCCGCTGTATAATAATATTGTATAAGATATAATATTTAATGTTACTTCATACTATAATGGCGCGCAAATACGAAAAGCATTAAAAGGAAATTTAACACTCAATATATGTACATAACTAGGTCAAGATGCTATATATTTTCGTACATATACAAATAATTCAATAGAGATTAGACGGACATAATATCATATATGCTATATGCGCTTATCTATATCGTGGCTGTGGCCTTGAAATGACCCTCTAAAACGCTTTTATTTTTTCGTTAACAACTTTACGAGTATAGAAACATACAACAACAGCAATATATAATGATAATAGCATTGTGCGCGCACACACACACACACGCACTGATGTTTAATAAAATAATAATTGACCCGTTTTTACGCTTTGTACGACTTTTTTGAATCGCCGCGGTATTGCGAAAAATAAATAATATCCTAGTTCCTAGAACTCCTGTGTACCGCTGGTTTTGACCGTCCACTATTGTAACCGAATTTATTATCGAACAACCACAGTGGTGTGTGCAAATACGACAACGACGGCAACGGCGATGATAATGATTATGATGATGATGATGATGATAATAATAATAATAATAATAATAACACTGTCGAAAGTATTATTATGATTTTATATATATAGTTGTGAGTACCCAACCTAACACGTGCACATACTCCACACTCGCAGAACACATATAATATATATGTACCTATGGTATTGTGTAATGTAGATCACACGGTCATTTATGACGCGATCCCATTTATTATAATAAATTACATTTTATTAAGCGCAGCGCGCGCCGCCGCAGACGGATTAAAAAAAAAAAAAATAATAAAAATAAAATACGAAAGTCACGTCGTATTTATCAAAATGTCAATTACACGCTGCCACACGATATAATATACTGACTGCGAAGAATATATAGTTATCCGTTCACTCTACCCTCGTCCCACGCCCACCCGACGGATCACTCAAGATTTCTGTCGATCAACATAATAATATAATAATATAATATTATAATTGATATTAATATTATATAGGTATAAACATCGATTTTTTGTGCCCATTCGCATCGTCTCATACCTATACGCTCAGCACCGTCCGTGATCGGTCATCGTCGGTAGCGTTGGTTTTGTTTCGTGTCGATTTTGACCTCGCCGTAGGCATATTATTCTGATAACAATGTATTGTATTATAATATAAAGTAGTCTTATCACTCTTATCTGGCATAGTCTCGAGTCACGTGACTCTGGATCCACCGGACGTAGTCGAATATAATATATCGTTTTCCTGGAACGGTCGTGACATTTCCCTTGAAAGTTTTCTAAACGTAAAATTCGAAAAATGATGTACCTATTAACAATACGTTTTATAGTTCGTGCATTTTTTTTTTCATTTTTTACTCTTTTGAACGATAACATATTTTTTTAGTTCCATATTCTGAAGCAGAATATTATATTTGTTTTGTATATGTTTCCATCTATAAAAACCAAATTTCTGAAAAGTAGCTCATCAACTGTTTTAAATATATTTGAAGTTTAGATGATGAGAAGAGTGGAATAATATTTTAAGGGGTGCACCTGTAGTACCAATCCACTCTACTCATCTAAACTTAAAGTGCCTACCTATTTGTAATAATTCTTGAACTGCTTGTCTAAAATCTGATTTTTTTGTATCCTATATAGTAGATAGGTACTGCAAAAATATTTTGTTTTAGAATAAGAATTAAAAATGCATGTTTTCATTCAAAATATTCCAGTTGTTTTTTAATGACTTTAAATTGTTTTAAATTAATATTTTCAAAACGTTGACAGTATATAAAAAAATATTGTCTATTACGTTAAATGGATCACCCGGTATACAACTAAAACAGAACTGTGCCAGCAATAATTCTATATATATTCCGAAAATACTAGTGTCTAGGTATACGTTTCGAAACGTTTCGTTAAGTTTATTTTACTTTTCAAGTCGGAATAGGTTAATCAAATAGCAATGAGACGAGTCAAAGTGCACGTTTGATTATCGAACGAACGCAGAAAAAAACA